GACCCTCAGTGGAAAAACATGTTTCAGGACAACAACAAAAAGGTATGAAAACATTTTACTCTCTCCTAAGCAGCTGTAGGTCTTCATGCTCTTCTTGGTTGCTAAACCAAGAACATTAATGATCATCATCATCATCATCATCACCATCATCATCATCATCATCATCATCATCATCATCATCATCATCAACTTTATTTATGGAGTGCTTCAAAACAGCTACAGCTGAAAACAAAGTGCTGAACATAACTAGAAATAATACAACACAATGTAAGAAAACGAAATACAGAATAAAAATATAAGACAAGAATAACAATTTGTTAAAGCTGAATAAACAAGGTCAAAACAACTCTTTCATGTATTAAAAGCCGGTGAATAAAAGTAAGTTTTGAGCAGTTTTTTTTTTAACATTTGGCAGTGAAGGAGCCTACCTAGTGTGCAGTAGGAGGCTATTCCATAAAAGGGGAGCAGCGAAATAGCTCTCGCCCCTATGAGCTTCCTCTTTAACGTTGGTACCTGCAGGAGCTGCTGTTCTGCTAACTTGATTACTGATAATGCTGTGAGTGCGAAAGAAAGAAAAGCATGAAAATTTTGAATGTTGGCTGTAATATGGTGTAAAAAATCCCAAATAGGATGACACAGATCACAACATTACTTCCAAACTTAAAAAACTTTGCGATTCACATTGGAGGACTGAATGATGTTGCTGAGAGGAAGTCAGAAATAATATGTTTTATATAATATATAAAACATAGTTCAAATAAATTTAAATTCAGTTCATTTATATAGCGCCAATTCACAACACGTCATCTCAAACTACTTTAGAGTTCAACAGATCATACAGTTTTCTATCTGAAGAAAACCAGTTAATTGCATTGACCTATTGACTCAAAGGCATTCCCTCACACAAATCATGCTTATAGCGACAGTGGAGAGGAAAACCTCCCTTTTAACAAGAAGAAATCTCCAGCAGAACCAGGCTCAGCCTGAGCGGCCATCTGCCAAGCCGACTGGAGTTCAAGGAGACAGAAGCAGATATACAGAGAGAAGCAGAGATACAAAAGGTAACTGTCAACCAGCCCCACATGTGGCCCTATCCAGGAAACACACAGCCAGGTAGGCGAGCTCCGAGCCAACTTCCGTGTCAGAGGTTAAAGAGAGCACATCCAGCCAGTCACAGTCAGAGAAGCAGGACTACACTTAAAAACAGTCTGAGCTCGAACATCTATAAACAAAGGTGTTGTTGGCAGCAGCGCAGCAGATATTTCTCTCCTGGACAACGTCACAGTCAAACAGGAACAGACCAGATGAAGCTACTATGAGGAAAAGCAGAGAGACCATAATGTTAGAGATTGAACTAACACATTCAGCAGAGTGGGAGAATAGAGACAGAATGAAGCAGAATGATGTAGAAGGGCTCCCTATGTCTGCCAACAGTCTAACCTTATAGCAGCATAACTATAGAGATAGCTCAGGATAACCTGAGCCACTCTAACTATAAGCTTTATCAAGGAAAGTTTTAAGCCTAGCATTAAAAGTAGACAGGGTTGGTCCTTAGAACAGTAAAAAAAAATGGAATGAACAAAAATAAGGACAGCCGAAAGGGTAGATTAGGGAATGGCAATACATAGGTCTTACATAGGTCCAAACAATTTGCCACCCTTCACACCTGATACGTGTGTGCAAAACACCCAAGTCCTCTCAAACAAGGCTCACACAAGCCCTCCAGAGGCTTCCTTGTAAATCCAACCTTGCAGAAAGCAGAGATGCTGGGCAGTGGGCAGTGACAAAGGGTCTGAAAGAGTGGCAGTCGGTCTGTGCTCGAGTTGAGGTAGGATTATATGCAGTGCTTCAGTGGCTAAGATAAATCTGCCTTTTTAAAGCCACCAAAAAAACCTCTTGAGAATATTCCTTATTTCTACCTTTGTTAATAGTGTTTATCTCTGTATTCCATTTTAAGTGAAAAAAGCTTCATCAACAACCAGTCCCTGATTGGTTGTCGTACCGCGATTTCACAGAAACATTCAGCTCTTTTCAACTTCAGCGAAGGAATTAAGGAAACAGCACTAGGTTGGTTTAAACCTTATTGTCTGACAGATTTCAGTTTGTTCCTGTCAATGATAAATCTCTCAAGCTCTGGGGTTACCTGTGGTGCACCTTACTTTAACTAAAAACTTTAACTAAAACATTGTTAAAGTCTTTTAAAAATGTTTGAAAGAGTATTTGATTTATTGTAATTTATATGTAGAAAAAAGCTCTAACTTGTGGTATGAATTGTAAAATTATGTAACTGTATTTTATATTGCTGTATAAGTACTTAAAATTTCTGATTGTAATTTTAAGGTGTGGGCTTTAAAATAAGCCTGTATGAGTTTGCTGCCTCTCCTTGCACATGTACTGCCTTTATTGTATATAAATTGTAAAACTTTGTGTCCAAACGCATGCTAAATAAAAAAGAAAAAAAAGTATAAAAAGATATTCCTCATGTGACATTCGTCTTTGTGAATGGCATGTACTTATATAGCGTCTTTATTCAAGTCAGGAGACTTGACCAAAGCGCTTTACGCTACATTCATTCACCCACACCCTAACACACTGATGGTGGCAAGCTACATTGTAGCCATAGTTGCCCTGGGGCTCACTGACAGAAGCAGGGCTGCCGTACACTGGCGCCATCGGGCCCTCTGACCACCATCAGTAGACAATGCAGGTGAAGTGTCTTGCCCAAGGACACAACGACACTGAAAGTCAGAGTCGGGGCTTGAACCGTCAATCCTTCGATTTCAGGGCAAACTCATACATCCAACGCCACTGTCGCCCCTGAACACTAACAAAATAAGTGAGAAAAAGAACCACACACTGAAATTCAAATATGAAGGTGGTATTCTGACAATATTTGGCCATTCTGCTATTTCTATCAAATTGACAGAACCGGGCGGACATGGCCCATGTACAGAGGTCTTCGATGCGGCCGACCCGGGTTGGATTCCGAACTGTGGTCCTTTGCCGCATATCTCTCCCACTCTCTCATACCCCCTTTCCTGTCAGCCACTAGTGCCATAAAAATAAAAAAAATAAAAAATAAAAATTTATAGAACCATGAATTGTGCTATCTAGTAGTAAATGCTAGGGGAGAACATCCTACCATCATTTCCTGTCAGATATTTGGTTTCTGCAGCTGGAATTGAATTTAATGAATTACAATTTAATAAATGCTTTGAGTCACTCGATTTTTGAGTCCAATTTTATAATTAAATACTTTCTAACCTCTTTAACCAGAAATGTACCCCAACAATATCTAATATTTGAAAAATGCTCCTAAGGGAGGCAGTGTCTGACAGACTCTCCTCACCATTCCTCCTGCATACTAGCTGATCTTCTGGGTTCACAATGAACGCGATCCGGGCGTCAAAAACGCTTAAACGGGTAATTTTTTTCCCAGGTGAAAAACATTGTTTAACACATTTTTAAGCAAGAAGGTAAACCTCAAAACATAATCTGGGCAGTCAATTGATCAGGATTATGTTCCTATTAGACCCAGACTTGTGTAGCTGTCAGGAGCTGTATCAAGCCGCTGCCTACATGTGCAGCCATCTTGGATATTACAAAATTAATAAAAATGTATTTTTTCAGATTTTAAGAAATTGGAGTTCAGGTGGAGTTCAGAAAATTTAACCCACACTGAAAGCTTTCTTTTGCGGCCAGCCTGTGGGGAATTTCCTGCTGCTGTTTGTAGCGGCTGAAAGTGAATATAAAGAGTTTTTTAGGTTTGTAGTAAACTGTAACTGCAAGTACCAGAATATACAATCGAATATTTTTCGTCGGCAGGTTTTGAAATTTTTAGTTAATTTGGAGTTTTATAAACTATTTTGCCATAGTCCATAACAAATGTTTTAATGCAGTAATAATGTTTAGAGCTCACTCTCTTTTCTTGTACATAACAATGCATTCTCTCTGTTTCTTTTAAAACCTTTGGAGTTTAAACTCATTATATTTATTTATTTTCATATGCTGAATGTCTGCAGAAGCAGTGTCTGTCTCCCAAAAAACACTCCTCGATCAGCTCCTCTGATGGTTGATGCTACGGGGTCCAGCAGCTAAAGTTCAAATTGCTGAACTCCAGTGTTGGATGCTTGGACATCAGAATGCTCAGAAGCACTGCTTCTGATGCTTGAATGTGCCGCCGGACCTCTTGACACCGTTCCCAAATGACTTTGCATGTATATTGCTGCCTTTGACACCGACATGTTCGATGTGAACGTGTGAAGGTAGATTTGATTCTTTATTATTCAAATAAAAAAAAGGTTGCTTCATTCAAAAAATGTTTTCAACTAAAAACACCTTAATTTCAATGAAAAAAAGTATTCAGTCAAAGAAAAAAGTGCAAAAATATAGTTGAGACTCAAAAAAATACATTTGAACACTGCTTTTCTTTGATTGAAAATATTTTCTTTGATAGAAGTCAAGCTTTTTTTGTAATTGAAGTAACATTGTTTTCTGATTGTACCATATAATGGGTAGGATATTTGTGTCTGTCATTCAATCAAAAAAGAAGTTGCTTCAAATAAACAAACAACACAATCAATGAAAAGATAAATGTTTCTAATTGTAGAAAATAGTTTTTTTGAATGCAAATAAAATATTTGATACTTCAAAAATATAATTTCAACACTTTTTTTTTATTGAAAATGTTCTCTTTGATCAAAGTAATCTATTTTTTGTTTGGGACTTACATGGGTAGGACATTTTTGTCTTAATCATTCAGTTACAAAAAAAATTGTTTCAATCAAAAAAAAGAAGTATTTTCAACCAAAGAAAAAAATGTTCAAATGAAAACGAATACCCCCATAAAAGTGAAAAAAAGATTTGAAGTGTTTTTTTGTTGTTGTTTTTTCATTTATTTATTTTGACACAGATGTCCCGCAGTGGGCAGGTGCTTCTCTATTGGTCAGACATGTTTGATTGACATGTATCTACACCAACAACATCTGTCTGACAAAGAAGTCATGTTCTCCAGCAATCTAAAGCAAGCGAAGGAAGAAGTCGTAGGGTTATTGGTAAGTAGATAAAACAGCTTGAAAATAATTGGTATCATGTTATTACCCTATTGTGTTGATATTTACAATAAATTGTAGGCTTAGTAACTTAGTTAATGTTGGTGAATTTTTATGATGGTGTTAGGTTAGATAGCTAAATATTTGCAGACATGATAGCATTGTGTGCAAATGGCTAGTTGATAGAGTTCCTCTATGGCCCTCCACACAAAAGCTTGCTATGTGCTAGTTCTGTGTTATGTTATACTAATAGTGCTCAAAAAACAGACCAATGCCCACAGCACTGCGTTTTTAGTAGATGGTTTTGAGAGCGGGATATAGGCTACATTTGCTGTTCTTACATTGAGCTGCACACTGCGTCCCCATGTCGCCCAAGTGGCAAATACTGCACGTGCTTGTTGCTGACTCTCCCTAATTGCACTCTCACTACAGGACTGGACAGACTTTCAGGATCAGAGCTGGCACTGTTCCCTCAGTTTTCTGCTTCCTTGCTCATCTATGCAAGGTAGGTGTATGACTATGTTTAAGATGACTATAATCCAATGCCATATTATATGAAGGAAAAAATATGCTTTTTTTTTAATAAACTACAAAATTATTTCAATATCTTTGGTTTTAATCTGTGGCTACCAGGACGTCTCAGACCTCAAAGAAAGCACAAGAGCTCCAGTCAGTGGACACTTCCCATCTTGTCCAAGAGGCAGAGCACATCTCTGTGCCTAATCTTCCAAAAAAAGTAAACAAAAAAACAGTCCACTGGACTTTGTTTTCCAAGTTTTAAGATGTTTCACCCCCAATCCAGGAATTGTTTTCAATAGTTTGAGTTGAAAACGGTTCCTTGATGGGAAGCAAAATGGTTTCAAACTTGGAAAAAAGTCCACTGGATTCTTTTTTAACTTTTTTGAAATGACTATGACCTCAGTGACCAAGAATATTCACCAGAATGTAAAGCATGATGTAATGCATCAGTGTTGTGATAACACTGATGCATTACATTTAGGCATGTCTGTATTTATTTATAATGAAGTAAAAAAGTGGGGCAATTAAGAACACACTGTACTAATAAATATTGCCAAAACATCACTCATAATGTTTTTATCTATTTTTGTACTAGGACCACTCCTATGCTCTGCCTTCATCCAATGAAGACCTGAGAGCCAGACTGAGGGCAGCCTTGGATAGGGTGTGGAGAGTCTGGAAAGAGAGAAAGAAGGAATGCCAAGGACAGAGAGAAGAGCAAAGAGCACTGTGAGTGGTCTTCTGGAAGATTTCAGAGAGAAGAAAATCATAAACGAGGAGTTCAAACAGCAGCTTGACACATACTCGGGTAGAATAAAAAAAACGTGTAAAATAAACTTTATTAACACATTTTCTTTACCCTGGTGACAGTGTTGTGCCAATGTGAAAGCAAATCCTTTTATGGAATGGATGACAATATATTTTAAGCCCATTTCTGTGACTGTACTTTTCTGTGCTTCACTGTGTATTACAAATACTTTGTTGGGGTATCCTGCTTTGCCATATTTATACTGACAGAACATTTCCCTAAAGGTACCTGTCTGTGATAGGGTTCATCATCAACACCAGAGATGGCAAAAGTACTCACTTTCCGTACTTGAGTAAAAGTACAGATATTTGTGTTTAAAAATACTCTGGTAAAAGTGGAAGTACTGATTAAACTTCTTTACTCAAGTAAAAGTAACAAAGTACAGGCTTGTAAATTTACTTAAAGTATAAAAGTAGAAACCACTTTTTTTCATATCGTTGCCTACATTTTAAATGGATGTCTGCCAATAGGACTAGATCTCCGTTGTGTTCATTTTCAATCATCTCGTCGTCCATGCTACTATGCTAACGCCACCGCCATCAAGCTGCAATGATTTGCCGCGAATGAATACTGCCAAATCTGTCGATTCATCTTGTAATGGTGCGTCAAATGCAACGTAGATTCCCATCCAATTAGATTGAATTTGGTATTGATGATGTGAAAAATAATAACGGTAACTCCATTGAAATGATTCAAAACTAAAGTAACGAGCCAATTTTTTAAAATGTAAGGAGTAGAAAGTACAGATATTTGTGTAAAAATGTAAGGAGTAGAAGTAAAAAGTCGCCATAAAAATAAGTAGTAAAGTAAAGTAAAAATATCAGAAAAATCTACTTGAGTACAGTAACGAAGTATTTGTACTTCGTTACTTCCCATCTCTGATCAACACACACTAATGATGTTGATTCCAGATTAGCTTCAACACCAACGTTACATCTGTACCTACCACTTCATCACTTGGACCTCCTGTTAATTTAATCAGGGCATCAGGTACAAATTTCCTTTTTTTTTTTTTTACAATATGGCTGTCTTTACATGTGCATATCATCCAGATAACCGTATATGTAAGTATGTTTTTGTGTCTTGTAGGAGGCTGGAATATTAACCCCTGAGCCACTTCCGTGCCAGCTCTCTCCATTTGATGGTGTGATGTGTCTCCGAGTAGATCGGAAAATGTGGTAGCACAGGATGAAACTGTTTCCCTCTTGCCTTTTGAGACGTCCTCCTCTCCAAGAGCCAAAGAAACCAAAGAGCTTCCATTTCCGTTTGCCAGCATTACTGCTGTAGTTTCTGATCACAGCTATTTACCAACCTACTTTGGTGGTCTATTGGACAAAGCCCTAGGGTACATCTCAGGGTTTGTTGTTGGCCAGGTTCATAGAAAGCTGTCCTGTGAGGTGTGCCGTGGTAGTTTGGTGACTGATGATGAACCTGCATGGTTTGATCAGCGCTATCACCTTCTCACTCAGAAAAACAATGGGGGGCTGATGATTCCTTCTGAGGGCACAGTAAAAGTAGTGAGGTCAGCTGAGCGAACTGTTCGCCAAACAATGTCAGGTCACACTGTCTATGTACTGTAGACCTTATCTGTCAGTATGTCCGGGCCCATGTTGGTTCTGAAGATGTGTTTAAACTTGGAGGGCACATTTATAAAACTCAATTTGGGATTGACAATCACCATTTTGTGCTGATATCACTTGTTGTCTGCCTTCCCTAAACTAAGGCTGCACCATGTGCTAAACTGGACACAGTAAAGCTGCAGAGTGGCAACACTAGGAAAAAGCTGTGTATGACCATTCTTGTTCAAGGTTTTTAGTTTGCATACAGTACAGATTGTTGTTTTTGGATAAGGATGTGCATATTTAGATTTTGAAGCATAAACATCTATCTATAAATAAATATATGTGTGATTATATATATATACTATAACTATATATCAAGATTATAGATGTGTCTATTTATATTATATGTTTGTGTAAATATTTGTATGTGTAAATATATGTATATATATAGATATATATGCAGTGTTGGGAAAGTTCTCTTTCTATGTGAACTAGTTCAAAGTTCAGTTCACACATTTTAAAATTAACTAGTTCAGTTCATAGTTCATAATTCAAAATTTTGAACTAGTTCACAGTTCCAAAAAATGAACTAGTTCATAGTTCTTTCTTTTTTTTCATATATTGCTCAATTACACCTCAATTACACATAGCCTACTGTAGAACCACAGACAGCAATTATTTCATCAGTTGTAACACTGAAACTGTGCGTCAGATTTCATCTTCATATCCAGTTTTGAATCCTTATCCAACCAGGGTTTACATTAGCATTGAGGGGACAGCATTTCCTCATTGTTGCTTTAACGCTTTGTTGCTGTCCATTCACTTTACACTAGTAGCAGCTGCAGCTTTCACCCCTACAGTATATTCTCAAAAACATCAGGAAAAATGTGCTGCTTGAATGGTCTTTTTTATGAGGAATTAGAAAAACAGGAAAGTAGTCTTTAAGGTGCAAATGTTTTTTTTTTTTTTGTTTTTTTTTTGTTTTTTCATTTGAAATTTCATTTCAGTACATACTAAAAAGGAATACTGGAATCCTGGAAAATTATACCAGGCAGGTTTAAGTGCGGACCCTCATGCAGTACCTCCGTGGACCCCCTAGGGGTCGCGGACCCCCTGTTGAAGACCTCCGCTCAAGAACATTTTACTAACACAAACTGAGGGACCAGGCTGAGGTAGGAATTTAAGGTTACTGAAGTGCGGATTGCAGAGAAATGTAAGATTGTTGCCATCATCCTCACCGACCACCTGGTCATAAACCTGTTTTAAGTGATCATACTGCTGCTTTGTCGCCTCCACGGTCGCCTCCATGCTGCATTTTGTTTTGATGACGCACGTGGCTGTAGGCTACGACACTGGTAGCTGGTGTTGCCAGATTGGGTGTTTTTCCGGCTACATATTAAGGCCTGTTTACGGTGTGATTTAGCCGGGGTTTCGCCTGGAGGGCTCTATAGAAATCTGGCAACCTATTTAAAGGAGTTGAACTGAGAGAGCGTGCCGTTCACAGACACCAGAATGAGCAAGTTCACAATAACGTTCATCAGGCAGTAATACAGTACGTTCAGTTCACGTTCGCCCAAAATATGAACGAGTTCATGAACTTTCGTTCAATGAACGCGTTCAGGCACAACACTGTATATATGTGATTATATATATATATATATATATTTTAGTGCTGTCAAAATTATCGCGTTATTAACGCGTTAACGCGAGGCCATTTTAACGCCGATAATTTTTTTAACGTGAGATTAGCGCTATGTGGTTTTATGGTACAATTTTCCAAGTACATCCCGCTGCAGCCTGCGAGAAGGCGGGGCTATTTTCCCCCAGTGTATGCATTTCTCATAGGCTTCGAGAGCGGAGCTCCTCAAGGGAAAAAGACGCTCATACACTGGGTGACGCTAGTGCCTTTTCTTTAAGCCCCACCACCAACAAACAAGTTGAGTGTCTGGTAACTAGTAGCAACCTGAAATACGCTGAGAAAACAGATTACTGAGGTGAAATGGAATCTGCTACGGCACTCTTGCCGTCTGTGTACGCCACAGGTCAGTATTGCGTGTGGGTGGGTGGGTGCTTGTGTGTGTGTTCTCATTTTTGTTAAGAGTCTGAAAAGTAACTTTCTAGAGCATAGACTACCTCCATCTAGTGATGTCAGTCTATTGATTTTGATGTATTGATTGAAAATTGTTCATTATTATCTTGGTTAATTAACATCTAATGTTAACTGTACTGCATTTTATAGCAGTAGGGTAAAATGCTTGTATTTGTTCAAAAGACTGTATTAACTGTAAAGACTGTCTTTTACATCAGCCTGTTTTCAGGGCCTTTTTTTTGCCTACATATTTGTTATTTTTTGCTACATGCCTCCCCATCTTCTTGCCATATGTTTCTATGGCATAAATCAGTGTCTGTGACCTGTTCTCATTTAAAAAAAAGAACATTGGCACAAACCTAGCCTGTATGTATTTTTTTGTATGCCATCGCGAGTATTTAAATGATTTTCAATCAGAAAAAAAATGTGCAATTAAAATGCGATTAATCGCGAGTTAACTTAGGCATTGATGCGATTAATCGCGATTAAAAAAATTTAATCGATTGACAGCACTAATATATATATATATATATATATATATATATACAATTACTAATGTGACAAAAATAAAAGTCCTAGAACAATAAATTAAAACAAAATTACAAAAGTCATAATATAATGAGAAAAAGTGTCTAAGAAGTGTATGAGAAAAAATGAAAGGCTTTAGAACAGGCTGATATATCCCCAAATGCTTTGACAGGAGAACTCTCCTCTCAAACACTATGCGATTTGCTGTCACAGCATCCCACTGTTGATATACAGTATGGCTATCGCTGCCCGACGGCGGCGACTAAACACAAAAATGGCCCAGGCACTGTTCAGTGGAGGAAGAGTTACGTGACCAATGGGGCAAAAAGCAGTGATCATCTGTCCAAATAGTCAGTTATCTGAGTTTGCTATAAAGTTCATTATATAGTTCCCACTGAATGTGGACACGGTAAGCTTGTATGATTTTCTTTTTCAAGTGGAGATGGAGGTCTTTTAAAAAATCCTCAACAATGCCTTTAAGGGGGAACATCGATTTTGATATTTTTTTTTCCTACTTGCTTTGATTGTGTTTTATTTTCCTATATTTTAATCATGTAAAGCACTTTGCATTTTCTTTGTACTGAATTGTGGTATACAAATAAATTTGCCTTACCTTGCCTTGCCTTACCAAACCAAAACACTGCATAATTGCACCATATTTTAGCTCTGAACTTCCATATCAGTGTGTTTTTTTTGCGCCATGTTTTCTCTCCCACACTGTCTATATTTGATCACTGCT